CCTTCCTTCCTTCCTTCCTTCCTTCCTTCCTTCCTTCCTTCCTTCCTTCCTTCCTTCCGTGTGATTAGAATGCAGGCTAACTCTGCCCACTGCCAACAGTTTCAGTTTCAACAGGCTCAAGGTTGGCTCAGCCCTCTGTCCTTCCGAGGTGGGTAAAATGAGGACCCAGATTGTTGGGTTGCTCTGTAAACCGCTTAGAGAGGGCTGTAAAGCACCGTGAAGCGATGTATAAGTCTAAGTGCTATTGCTATGGGGATGTGGTTTGTTGGCCAACCACAATTGTATTCCACACTGTTCAACTCTTTACAAAGTCTACATCAATATTAATCTTCTCATCACTCCTATCATCCATCATCTCCTCCCACTTGTATGACTGTAACTTGTTGCCTGTATCCTTTGGAAGGCAACATCCAAGCCGTTGCCACCTGCCTGCCCGAGGGTGCAAGGGAGGGGAATTAAATCAACCCTGAAAAGACAGCCTAGCCGTTTTTTCAGGGGTCAAAAAAAAAAAAAATAAGGCCGGGCCTTATTTTGTGAGAAACGCGGTAGCCTCCAGACCCCTTGACCCTCTTGGTTGCTCTTCTCTGCCCTTGTGTGTCTGCAGCACTCACTGTAAACTTTCAGGTCAAAGTGCTCGTTAATTGACTCTGAGGTTGTTAAGACAATGTTTGCCGTGTATCTGTTAATGTCCTCTTGGCTGAGATGACTGAGCTGCAGATTCCGGCAGTCCTTGGAGGAGCTGATGCGCTGTTTAAAGGCTTGGATGGGGACGAGAATCTTACAGGGATTGCCAGGGGCCACCAGGGCGAAGACCCTGAACCTGTTCTTTTTCTCAGTCTTGGACCAGGAAATGGTTGCAAAGGGTTTTGAGTCATTGATCTGGAAAGTGACGGATTCCCCCAGAACGCCATTCAGTTGTATGGCCGAGGTTTCTGTGAGAGTCGAGAGAAGAAGAAAGAAAAAGCTTTAGAAGCAAAAAGCGACACATTATCCAAAAGCCACTCTGGTTTCTGGTTTCTTTTATTGGACACTTAAACCCCCCACCACATAAACTTCATATAAAAGACAAAGTGAAAAAAGAATAAAAGAACGCAACGCAGATGATGAATTGGAGATTTTAAATGTTGTGGAAGTTACTGCTTTTTAATATTTCATCAATTGGTTGTAACTAGTTAAATATATTGTATTTCACATTAAAAAAACGAAGGAACATACTTGAACTAAGAATGGATATCCAAAGATCACGGCCAACAAAACACTGAATGGTGTTCAGTCCATGGTAGCGAGAATCTATTCTGACTTGGTATTTCATTTATTTATTTAATTTATACCCCACTTTTATTATTTCTACAAATGTAACTCAAGATGGCAAACATGCTTAATTAATACTCCTCCTATTTTCTCCACAACCACCCTGTGAGGTGGCTTGGGCTGAAAGAGAGGGACTGGCCCAAAGTCCCCCCCAACCCCTTCCATGGCTAAGGCGGGAGTAGAACTCACCGTCTCTTGGCTTAGCTCGGGGCCTTCACCGCTCAACCCTTGTAAAATCAAAATGTAGGTTCTATGCATATATAAGCCCAAATTTGGGGTGTTAGTATTATGTCGGAGGCTATTATAGCTTGAGAAGTGTCCAGTTTGAAGGAGATTTTAACTTTTAAGCAGTGGAGGCATTCTACTGGTTCGGCCCGGTTCAGCTGAACCGATAGTAAAGATGCTACCGTTCGGCTGAACCAGTATTTCTTATTCCCCCCTCCCGACGATCAGCTGTTCCAACGATCAGCTGTGCCGGGATCCCCCTCACTGTCTCACTGCTTCACCCAGGAGGCTGCCTTGAGCCCTAGGAGGGGGAAAAAAAGGAGCGGGGGATGTGTGTGTGTGTGTGGCTGCAGAAGAAGTCAGAGAAGCCACACCCACCGAGTCACGTGGCCACTCCCACCTAGCCACGCCCACAGAACTGGCCGTAAAAATATTTACATCCGACCTTTGCTTTTAAGGCAGGAAAATTATTTGGAGCACAGAAGCATTTTGCAACCACCTGGTTAGCCATTCATTCATAGAAGGGATTAAGTGCTGTTTCGAATGAAAGGCATAATTGTCTTCTTCCAGCAATTAGCACATAAAAGAGGCATTTCTGCATACTCTGGGGAGATAAACAGCTTGGTAACATTGAGTACCCTGGGTTGAGATTGGAATCCAACTTTTCAGACTTGTTTCATTCTAGCAGGAACTATTTCCCACAATCCCTGAGCTGTACAGCGTTGACCCCAAGTATGGATTCCTGCTTTTTGCTCTGGTTCTGAACCACGACTGAGAGGGAATGGGCCAAGCTCTCCCCCCCTCCCAGCTGCCTGTCAAACAAAAACCGTAGCAAAAGTTACCGGCTTGGAAGTAGACAAGTAGGAGTGTCACCCAGAAAGCATCCTTATGTCGCATGCCAGACACTTCCCTGCTTGGCTTCAAGCAAAAGGCAAAGTCCTGGTCCCGGCCACTGGTGGCTCCCACTGCCCCCCTCCCTCTCTGGCTGAGACCTCACAATCAGGTGACTCAGCCTGCATCGTATGCAAATCACTTACCTGGAGGGAGAGGAAAGGTTAAGCTTCCCTGCCCCAAATTTGCTCCTGGGAGTTTTAGCTTCTTTGGAAAGTTGAATGTCTCTTGCAGGCCAATCTTGTCAAGGCTGAACCTCCTGTTTTAGGAAGGGCTGACACTGCCTCCCTCCGGCGATTCCACCTTGGGAGGCTGGTTTTCCCCTCAACCGGTACAAAACTTCCCAGGTGGAATATCTGGATTGGAACTGTTGTCCCCAAAGTGCCTTTTTTTTTTCTCTCTCTCCAAAAGACAACTGGATTTTCTTTGTTTTTTTCTTGAAGATGTTTCTCACTTCTCATCCAAGAAATGTCTTCAGAACTGAAGAAGCTTCTTGGGTGAGAAGTGACGCATCTTCAAGAAAAGCCCAAGAAAGTCCAGTTGTTTCTTGAAGAAGCACCTTTAGGACAACCATGATCTGGATCAGTGGTGGGATTCAATTTTTTTTTACTACTGGTCCTGTGGGTGTGGCTTGGTGGGCGTGGCAGGGGAAGGATATACTGCAAAATCCCCCTTCCCTCCCCACCCCATTGACTTGCTTTCCAGCTCCGTTCTCCTCTGCAGGGCAACCAAAGGAGACCCAGCCGATCGGCTGGGACTCCATGGGAGGCAGAGAAGAGATGGGGGGTTGGCGGGGCCAGTCAGAGGTGGGATTGGCCGGTTCTCCAAACTACTCCAAACTACTGGCTCTAACCTTGAATCTGACAATGTTGCTCCAACTGAACTTATTCTTCAGGATGGTCAGTGTTAGGAATGAAGAAATTCCTAGGGTTCAATGGAGACTGACCAGGGAGGGGAGGAGAAAAAAAAAGGGCCAGGAACAGGACAGATTGATTAAAGAGATGTCCACCACATATGATAATATGATCCAGGTGTCTGGCGGCATTTCCAACATTTAGCTGATTTAAGACTGCAATGGTGATCACCTGACTGAAGGTCACTGTGAATGTGGATTGTGGAATCTGTTGTGGATTGGAAATGTTTGTGTTGTCTGGTTTGGCTTCTCTGGATTTGACCAATAAGAGAGAGGCACTCTTGTAATTCACTTGACTTCTAGTAAACTGTACCTTTCTCACCAAATGAGTTAATAGCAATAGCACTTAGACTTATATACCACTTCACAGTGCTTCACAGCCCTCTCTTAACCAGTTTACAGAGTCAGCCTCTTGCCCCCCAACAATCTGGGTCCTCATTTTACTCACCTCGGAAGGACGGAAGGCTGAGTCAACCTGGAGCCTGGTGAGATTCGATCTGCCAAATTTCAGTCAGCTGGCAGTCAGCAGAAGTGGCCTTCCGTACTGCACTCTAACCACTGTGCCACCATGGCTCAAGTTGAGGATCATTTTTACTTAGCAGTATTTCTAATTATCAGAACTGCCTCAAACTTGGGGTTCTAACTGATTTGCCTTCAACGTGCTACATTTAAAGTTTATTTCAACATTGACCATAAGAGGGTGCAAAACACTAACATTTAAATATTATTTCAACATTAACCACAAGAGGGAGGAAAGAACAATTTTAGGGCATGGTATTGAAAAGATTGTGAGAAGATAAAATCATGCATTTTAAGACAGAATAGGAATCAAATGATGAACAGTTGAGGGAGCCAGATAGGCCTAGACTAGGGGGAAAAAAGGACCAGGGGTGACACGGTAGCAGTATTCCAATATTTGAGGGGCTGCCACAGGGAAGAGTGGGGTCCACCTATTCCCCAAAGCACCAGAAGGCAGGACAAGAAGCAACGGATGGAAACTAATCAAGGAGAGGAGCAAACCTGGAACTAAAATGTCTATGGAGACTCTCCATCCTCCAGGTCCTGGTTGTCCTAAAGATGTTTTTTCAAGAGGCAACTGGGACTTTCTGTTTTTTTCTTTGAAGACATTTTGCTTTTCATCCAAGAAGCTTTTTCAGCTCTGAAGAAGCTTCTTGGATGAGAAGCGAAACATCTTCAAAGAAAAAAAAAAACAGAAAGTCCAGTTGCCTCTTGAAAAAGCACCTTTGGGACAAACCTAGTAAACTAAGGAGAAATTTCATGATAGTAAGAACAATTGACCAGTGGAACTGCTTGCCTTCAGAAGTTGATGACAAGCAAGTAGAGGGGGAAACAGATGGGTGGTGAAGATGGATGTTACAACTGAAGAAAATTGCCAGAACCTTAATATGGTTGGTCAGATGGTCAGCCAGAGGATTTGGCATTTTGTCCATCTCTTGAGTCCTTCCCAGGGACCTGAGGAAGGCACCTGTTGTTCTTCGTTCCTGTTAAAGTTCTCATCGGCGGATGCTACTCCAAGTCAAGTCAAATACTTTTTGCAATTGATTGATGGGGATTTTGTCAATACCGAGGGTGTTTAAGTGATGCTTCAGTTGCTTTCGGTTTGCACCAAAGGTGCCCATCAGTACTGGTACTATCTTTGCTTCCTTTTTCTTCTTCTTCTACTACTACTAGTAACAGTTTTAATGTGCATTAATGGGATTAAGAAAAATAGTTACTAACATACTTTGAACCTGGTGAAATTAACAGGCATGGAAGAACAGGAACAGGGAGGGAGAAAGGCGAGAGAGCAGGGTGATTATATCAACAGGGTTGGTGGGCTTCTCTTTATGGATGATTGACTGCTGAGCAGCTGTCCTGAGAACTGGTATAATTGAGTTTGACCAAACAACTGGAAGGGTTTTCAACTGAATTCTGTGGAAATGCACCGAGGAAGTAGACGTGAAGAAACTTTTTAGTGAAAACCAGAAAGAAGCTGGAGGTGTTCATGGCCTTGGTTGCTACACATAATAATCCCGTCGTTGACCCGAAACCCATCCTTGAGCCGCTCGATAAATCTCAGGTTTCCACAGTTGGAAGGTTCTCAAGAATAGTTCTAGTCCAACTTAGGGATCTACTATCACAACATCCCCACTTAGCTTCTAACGAAAACCACCTAGCTTCTAATTCAACATCAACACAGGAGGGCAGAGTGTTCTGAGCCAGGCTTCATCAAACTTAATAAAACGCAAACTGAATTTAAAAGTAAAACCTTTTTTAATGTGACGATGGAATTACTTGCATTCCCAGCCAAAACTCGTTAGACACAGTTCCTCCAGATAAGAGCACGCTTTTCCGTGCGGTCGAATGCTGCCAGGAAAGAGAAGTCCAATTAAGGCTAACACCAACCAACCCAAAAACCCAGCAAAACCCGACCAGAGTACAGAGCTTCAAGACGGACTCGGAGGTTACTGAACTACTTTGCTTCCTGCAAAGCTCTTCGTCATTGAGGACTGACTTTTATCCTTGATGGGAGGGGCAATCACCTCCCAGCTTTACTCCTGAGTCACACTTTCTGTTCAGCTGCTCTTGCCTTCTAGCAGCTCTGTGCACACGCGACCTGGGAATGCTCCTTGGGGTCCTCTGCTGCTCTGGACTCCAATGGCTCCGAAGGCAGAACCCCACTCCCAGATGGTCCTGGCCCCATCCCTGCGTCGGACGCAGGGCCCTTGTCCAAATCCTCTCCAGACTGCCCAAGCAACACCATGGCTTCTGTCTGCTACCTGATTTGCTGGCAGCTAACTGTCCCATGCAGCCAAAGGTCCAGGACAAACGGTATCTTGGTTAATGGGCCTGGCCTAAGGGTCCGGGGTGGAGGGGTGGATGCCTGTTTGAACTCCGACCCTCAAAACGACGCTATAGACACTGCACACCAGAACAACTAGACACAAGGGGAGTTTTTTCCCGAACGCCCTCACTCTGCTAAACAAATAATTCCCTCAACACTGCTCAACTATTTACAAAGTCTGCCCTCGTATTACTATTAATCTTATCACTCCTTATCACCCATCCCCTCCCACTTGTGACTGTAGCTTGGTCACTTCTATCCTTACGATTTAATATTGACTGTTTCCTAGTATGATTTGATGGCTTATTGTACCCTATGGCTATCATTAAGTGTTGGACCTGATGATTCTTGACTCTTGACGAATGTATCTTTTATGTACACTTGAGAGCATTTGCACGGACACATTCATTGTGTGTCCAATTACCCTTGGCCAATAAAGCATTCTAATCTATTCTTTGAGCCAGGGAGAACGGCCAGGTGAGGACCAGCAGAGGAGAAAAGCTGAGGAGGGAGGCTGGAGGGTGAGAGCGTGAAGCTCCATCCCGAGGATGGGAGATGTGTTCTTGACATCTGAGGTCCAACTGAATCCCACTTCTTCTTCCCAGGTGGGCCTAGGACCTTCCGGCTGGACCTCAGACGTCAAGAACACGTTTCCCACTCTCGGGAGTTCAGTGATGGAGCTCACCTCCCAAGACCTTGATCTGGAAGTCACCTGCACAGCAGGAAATGACGTGCAGGACATTCACCTTAAAGCAAGTTTGTGCTGGTAAGTTTTCCTCTCCTTCAAAGAGGCCTGGAGACCAAAGCTGACATTCAGTTTGGAGAGACAAAGACTTGGAGAAGGAAGAACTTCCCACAATTATTCACCCAGGACAATGATGGGATTTGGAAAGGGCTTGGGCGGCAACCAACAACCCAGGAGAATAAAAAAATGTGCATTTATTTATTTAAGTGTGTGAAACCTTCACGTACTGGAGAAGGAACCAAATTCAGTGCTGACACAGTTGACTCCGTCTTCAGGAAGCGGCGTATCAGCTGGTGGGAGGATGAAAGCCTCTGAGGTTCCCCTCTCCGTGAGAAAATCAGCTGAAGACTGCAGAGAAGAAGAAAAAAAAGAACTCCCGAAGAGCTTGAAGAACTTAAAGCAGCTGACATGACTGCCGCTTTTACGATATTCAAAATTGCACGATAAATGTAGGTACAGGAAAAATTCCTGCAGGCTCGGGAAGCCAAAAAAGTTTTACTTCA